TGGACTCGTGTGTATACTGTAGGCGTGTAAGTGTCTCGGGTGTTTGTGTTGTGGTGTGTTCCGGCTGTGTGAGTGGGAGAGAGTGGGTCTGTGTGAGAGTATGAGAGAATGTGAGAGAGTGTGTGTGAGTGTGAAAGAGTGTGTCTGTGTGAGAGTGTGAGAGAGAGTGTGTGAGTTTGAGAGTGGGAGAGAGTGTGTCTGTGTGAGAGAATGTGAGAGAGTGTGTGTGAGTTTTAGAGTGTGTCTGTATAGGAGAATGTGAGAGTGTGAGTTTGAGAAAGTGTATGTCTTTGTGAGAGTATAAGAGAAGTGAGTCCGAGTGTATAAGAGTGAGTGTGTTTGTTGTGTGAATGTGAGTATGAGTATGGCTCTCAGTATGAGTGTGTAAGTGTGAGTATGAATTTGTGAGAGTCTGAGAATGACTAACGGGCTTGAGTATGAGTATGACTTAAGAAGGTGAGCAAGTGCAGTATACGAGTATGAGTGTGTGCGCATCCCCTCAACCGTCCCCCCTAAGCCCGGACATGCAACAGCCCTGATACCTGGAAAATAAGGAGCCAATTAAAGCGGCGACCAAATGTCCTTGTCACACTGATAAGCCTCCGAGGGGCGGGCCAGCGTGCTCACCCCACCCCTCCCCCAGCCCCTCTACCCTCTCCCCCCCCTCTACCCCCTCCCCAGCCCCTCTACCCCCTCCCCCCCGGTCCTTCCCCTCCCTCCATATACTTATCCAGGTCCTTTTTCTTCCTCCATCTCCCCCTCCCCCTACTATCTTCTTCTCGGAATAATAACAAAACTAAAAAAAAAGAAAAGTGGACAAGCTAATAATGAGATAAACTTTTTATTTTTTTTTAAAGCAATTATCATTAGTATTGCCATTGTTACTTTTATCATTATAATAACATCATCACTATCATTATCATTATCAACCTCACCAATCACCGTCATCATCATTACATTCTTTATTCATCTCCTTTATCTTTATTTATTCATCTGTTTGCTTATCCATTTATTAGAAGCACCGCCCCCTCCACCGGCTCCTGCGCACGCCCGCAGCCTGTGCACGTCAGAACATGTTATTAATGGTCGTGGGCGGCAGGTGTTTGCATGCGGGGTGGGTGGGGGGAAAGGGGGGAGGGGGGGAGGGTGGAGAGGAGAGGGGGGAAGAGGGGTATGGAAGGAGGAGGGGGGGAGAGGGGAGAGGGGATGGAGAGGACAGGGAGGAAGGGGAAGAGGAGGGTGGGCGAGAGGGAGGAAGGGGAAGAGGAGGGAGGGAGAGAGGGAGGAGAGGGGAGGGTAAGGGGAGGAGAGCAGAGAGAGGAGGGAGGAAGAGGAAGGGAGAGGGAGAGGGAAGGGGAGAGGGGAGAAGAGGGGAGGGAAGAGAGAGGGAGAGGGAGAGGCGAAGGAACTTTTCGCTAAATACCCCGCAGTGAAGACAAGCGAGGAAGACGAGAGGAAAGATGAACGGGGAGAGATGAAGGAATGTTTATTATTGTGGGAGAGGGAGAAGGAGGGAAACAGGGAGAGAAGAAGAAAAAAAACAGTGAAGATAAGTGAACCACCAAAGAGAAGAGAACAAGAGAAACAGAAAAAAAAGAATTACAGCAAGGCCCGAGCCGCGCCCCCGAGAGCGCCCGCGCCCTTCGGCCCCTTCGGTCTGGGTCGCAGGACAGGCCCCAGACCCGCGCCCTTCCCTGACGAACGAGTCCCACGGGCGGCGAGCGGCGTAACAATCGCGGAACATAACGAGGCTCCATCTCTAACGAGCGGCCGCCTTGTTCGGAGCCACGTGGAGCCATATTTCACGGCGGGGCGATAGCGGCGACGAGGGGGTCCCCCCGCCGCCGCCGCCGCCTCCGTCAGGGGAAGGGGGGAGGGGAGAGGGGTCACCACTCCCCCCTTCCTCCTCATGTCTTCTACGACGACCTGCGCAAGGGATTCGTCTTCTGCAACTAGAAAACACGACCTTCTCCTTATACAACGAACGGCACGACCTCATAACAACGCCTGCCGCTCCGTCCGTTCCGACGACCTCCCGACGACGACCCCGACCCGGCCTCGTGGATCCCGACGGCCGCGGCGCACACGAGGACGCACTGAGACCCACCAAGCCCTCGTCGATAAGCGCCCTCTCTCCCCTTCTTCGTCATCGTTTTCTTGTTCAGTTCCATCGTTCGTTTCCCCGACGCCGCGCCTCCTTGCCGGGGAAAGAAGGGCGCAAGTGCCAGTAGCAACAGGTGTCACTGAACGGTTCGGGAGGGCGGGGGGTAGGGGAGGGGAGGAGGCGGGGAGGGCGTTCGTTCTTTCGTTCGTTCGTGTGAGAGAGTGACGTCACGGGCTTTTTAGCGACCGTCTGTCGGCCCGTCTGCCTCCGTCGCTTGCCTCCCCCCCCCAACCCCACCCCCGCCTCCTCTCTTAACCGCAGACGGCAACGTCGGGGCCAAAAAGTGGGCGGGGTTGCGAGGCGTCTGCGGGCGGGCGGGCTTTCCCCGAGGGCGTGCGGACGCTGTGCTACGTGGGTGTGATACAGGTGCTCTCGCCCCTCGTGACGGAGGCACGGACGCCCTTGCGAGAGGCCGAGGCGCGGGGAGAAGGAACCCCATTCCGACGGCAGTAAAGAACAAGACGTGGGCGGGACGAGTCCGGGAGTGTGGGCGGGGGAGGGAGGGGGCGGAGAGAGAGAGGGGGGAGTGGCGGTGCTACACCCGAGGCCGGAGAGAGAGGGAGAGGGAGAGAGAGAGGGAGAGGGGAGGGAGGAGAGGAGAGGGAGGGAGGGAGAGAGAGAGAGGGAGAGGAAGGGGGAGGGGCAGAGGGAGGGTACGCACGCCAGGTCGCCGGTGCCCCGGGACTCCTCCTCTCGCATACAAACTGCCTCATTACCGCCCGCCCCCTCCCCCCCTTCCCCCCCTCATGCCTGCCGCCTACCCGTCGTCCCCATGATGCACGGGCGCCATGCACGGGGGAGGGCAGGGGGGGAGGAGGAGGAGGAGGAGGAGGAGGAGGAGGAGGAGGAGGAGGAGGAGGAGGAGGAGGAGAAGGAAGGAGGAAGGAAGAAGAAGAAGAAGAAAGAAGAAGAAGAGAAGAAAGAAAAAAGAAAAGAAGGGAGAAGAAGGAGGAGGAACAGGAGAATAATAATAAGAACCACAGATAGAGGATGCAGAAGCAGAATAAGAACAGGAATAAAAAAGAAGAAAAGAAGACCGAAGAAGAAAAAAAAAGAGAGAGAGAGAGAGAGAGAGAGAGAGAGAGAGAGAGAGAGAGAGAGAGAGAGAGAGAGAGAGAGAAGAGAGAGAGAGAGAGAGAGAGAGAGAAAGAGAGAGAGGCAGAAGGTGCGGCAAAAGATGAGACGATAATTCCTCTGTATTTCTATTGCCTCCTTTCCCGTTTATCATATTGTTACACATTCCCCCTTCCTCTTTTCTCATTCAAATATCCCTCATTCCGGAGCGACTCGGTAAATAGCCTTTGTTATCATAGTGATTAATAAACGCTAATTATGATCTTTGCTATTGCCAGTCTTTCATAATCATTATTATTATTATTATCGCGGAATTTATCGCTATCAATATCATCTTACTATTACCATTATCATCAATTATAAATATTCTCACTCATTTACACCAAAAGAGAGAGAGAGAGAGAAAGAAAGGGAGAAAACATGATATATAGAGAGAAAGGGAGAAAACATAATAATACAGATTAACCAAAGCAAAAAATAATTTGTAAAATAATAATGAAGGAATTAAATCATTCGAAAGACACCAAGAAATGGTAGATTAAAAAAATAATAATAATATAATAATAAAAAAAATAAAAAAATCAAACGAAAATAAAACATCGCTAAATAAGGAAATTAGTAAAAATTAAACGAGAAAAATCGCTAAATAAGGAAATAAGCAAAAACCAAACGAGAAAAAAATCGCTAAATAAGGAAATTAGTAAAATAACAATAATAATAATAACAACAACAACAACAACAAAACAACAATAATATAATAATAATAATAATAATAATAATAATAATAATAAAACAATAATGATAATAATAATAATAAATAATAATAATAATAATAATAATAATAATAATAAAAAATACCCCCCCCCCCGCCCCCGCCCCAGACGCCGCCCGCGCCGAGTGTCCCGCGCAGCCCCTGGACCGCCTAACTACCAGTTGGTGTGCTTTTTCGTCGCTGCCTTTTCTCCCCGACGCCCGTACACGCCCACAGCCCCCCGCCCCCATGAATAATGCACAACGCACATGCATAAAGTTCTTTCCGACTTCGAGAAAATTACAGATGTTTTACATCCTGGCTCGAGATACATGTAAATGGAGACCCCCCCTTCCCCCTTCTTCCTCCTCCTCTCTCCTGCTCCTTCTCCTCCTCCTCCTCCTCCTCCTCTCCTGCTCCTTCTCCTCCCTCCTCTCCTTCTCCTTCTCCTCCTCCTCCTGCTTCCTCTCCTCTCCTCCTGCTCCTTCTCCTGCCCTTCAGGATACCCCTCCTCCTCTCCATCGCTCTTCTACACCCCTTTGCCATGATCCCCTCCCCCCTCCCCCTCCTCTTTGCGCTTCTCCCCTTCTAAGCTCCCCCTTCCCCTCTCTCCTTCTCCCTTAACCCTCCTCCCATTTGCTTCCCTTCCCTCTCTCCTCCCCTTCTCCTTTACTCCCTTCCCCCCACCCCCCTACCCTCCCTTCCCCTCCCACCAAGACCCCCCCTCCCCCCGCCCCGCCCCACCGCCCCATCCCCCCCCCCCCAGCATGATCTAAATCCCAATGTAAGGCTCCGCGCGGCCCGAGAGATCGAATTAATCAGCGGCGTGTCTCCAGCGGCCGCACTAAATAACCGGCCGCCTTAGACGGGCCTCCGCATGCCCCCCCCCCTCTCTCGCGCCCGCCCGCACGCCCGCACGCCGCCCGCACGCCCGCCGCCGCTGCGCAACCCTGATCTAGCACAGCCGGACGCCCGCCGCCGCCCGCCCGCCCGCCGCTGCGCAACCCTGATCTAGCACAGCCCGGACGCCCTGGACGAGGCCGACACGGGGCCTTTATCTCGACTCTTAAATCACGGTCACACAGCTACACGCTCTGCGGACTCTGGAGGCTGCACCCCCTCCCTTACCCCCCCCCCCCTTGGGTTCTTGCCCCCCCCCCCCCCTCCCCCCCCGCCTTTCTTCTTCCCTCCTCGCCGTCCTCCCCTTCCTAGGCATGGACCTCCTCTATGTGTGTGCAATTTGTTTAAATAATACATACATACATACATACATACACATACATACATACATATATATATATATATATATATATATATATATATATTATATATATATATATATATACATACACATATACACATATATAAATATATACATATATATATGTGTGTGTGTGTGTGTGTAGGGGTGTGTGTGCATATATATGTAAATGTAACAAACACGCTGAAGAACTTTGCAACAAACATCGGCCGACGAACAAATACAAAAGAATGCAAATCTTTACCACTCCACCTCCTTTCCCTTCCTTCCCCCTCCTCCCCTTCCCCCTCCCCTCTCCTTCCCCTCCCCTCCCCTTCCCTCCCCTCTCCCTTCCATCCTTCCCTTCCCCTCTTCCTTACCCTCCCCTTTCTCTTCCTTCCCCCTCCCCTTCTCCCTTCCTTCCCCTCCCTCTCCCTCTCCCTTCTTTCCCCTCCCCCCTCCCTTCCTTCCCCCCTCTCCCTCTCCCTTCCCCCTCCCCTCCCCCTTCCCTTCCTTCCCCCTCCCCCCCTCCCTTCCTCAAACAGCCGAGCGAACAAATGCAAACACACCGCCACGCACACCGACCCGAAAATGCCTATGAATATGCACTAATGGCCAAAATGAAAACATATATGCATACACGTTCACTTAACTCACTCGAATATTTCAATTCCAACGCCCCTCCTCCTCCTCCTCCTCCTCTTCCTCCTCCTCTTCCTCCTCCCTTTCTGCTCCTTCCCTTCTCCTCTCCGCCCCTTTCTCTTCGTCCTTTAGCCTTCCGCTCTCTCTCTCTCTCTCTCCTTTTTCTTTTCTCTTTTTTACTCTCCTTCTCCTCATGTCTTTTCTTTTCCTTAATTTCCTTCTCACTCTCCTCTCTTCTCTTTATCCCCCCTCTTTCCTTCTATCCTACTCCTCTTCCTCTCTCTCTCACCTCCTCCTCCTTTCACCTCGCTCTTTCTTCTTCTCATTCCTTCCATCTCCGTCTTTCTTCGCTCCTTTTATGCCTTTTTCTCTCTTCCGGGATCCATCTCTGTCCCTTTGTCCATCCCTTTATATCATCTACTACCTGCTTCTTTTTTCCCTTTCTTCCTTGATTCCCTCCTCCTATTCAGCCCTCTTTTCAGCTTCTCTTCTTCCCACTGCCTCCCTCTCTTCTCCCCCTCCCCCACTCCCTCCCTCTTATCTCCCTATTCCTTCACCACCCCCCTTCCCCACCCCTTTCCCCATTCTCTCTCCCTCCCAACCCTTTCTCTCGCTCCTTCTCACTCTCCCTTCCCCATTTCTCCCATCTCTCCCAAACCCCCTCTTCTCCCTTCCCCACCCCTCCCTCCCACTTCTCCCCCCTCCCCCTTCCCCTCCTCCCCCTTCCTCCTTCTCCTCCTCCTCCACCCCTTCCCCTCTCTCCTCCTCCTCTTCCCCCTTCCCCTCCTCCCTCACCCCTTCCTCCCCTTCTTCTCCTTCTCCCCTTCTCCCCTCTTCTCCCCCCTCCCTCCCTTCCCCTCCCCCCCCCCCCGAACAAACGCTCTTCCAGTACTCACCCTCGCCTGTAGCGCCTGCTGCTGGAGGGGCTCGAGGACCTGCGGCGGGGGCTGCAGCCGTCCCGCGCCCCCGTCGGAGGGAGCCGAGTGGGCGCCGTCCCTCTGGGGGGTGTGGGGGGGCGTCGGGGGTTCTGCGCCCCCCTCGCCCGAGCCTCCGACGCCGTTGTTCTTCAGTGATTCCAGAAGCTTCCCTGTGGATAGAGAGAGAGACGTTAATAAAGAGTGGGTATGGAGGAATGGGAGGAAGAGAGAGCGTGGATAAGAGTGGGAATGGAGGAATGGATAAGAGAATGGAGTGGAGATGGATAAAGAGAGAGAATGGACGAAGATGGAGATGAAGAGAGATGAAAGAGAAAACGAAGAGAAACGATAGAAAAAGACAAGAAGAATAGAAACGAAAAAAAACAAAAACAAGAAAAAAAAAAGAAATAAGAAAACGAGAAGAAGACAAAACGAAGATAAAAAACAAGAAGAAGACAAAACGAAGATAAAAAAAAACGAAAAAAAGCAGACGCACCAATAAAGAGAGAGACAGCAGGGCACTCAAATCGAACCTTTTGTTTCGCGGTTCCGAACCCTGAATCATGTGAACCTTGAATCGTGTTCCGAAGCTCCGAAATCGTGCCGACGTAAACACACACGTAAAAAATTGACTCATGAATCAAAGTCGAGCCAAAAGCTGCCTATTCTTCTGTCATGAAGTCTGTAAATCGTGTAAAAAAAAAACAACAACAACAAAAAAATAGAATAATAATTAAATAAAACAACATGAGTACAGGATTTTTTTTTCAGAACCAATAAGAAGATGGTTAAATAGCTCATAAAACGATAAAAGCGAGAGAGAGAGAGAGAGAGAGAGAGAGAGAGAGAGAGAGAGAGAGAGAGAGAAGAGAGAGAGGAGAGAGAGAGAGAGAGAGAGAGAGAGAGAGAGAGAGAGAGAGAGAGAGAGAAGAAAAAGAAAGAGGAAGCGAAAGAGGACGCGAAAGACGAAGAAAAAAAAAAAACGGAAAAAAGAAAAGAAAACAAAAAAAAAAAAAAAAGAAAAAAAAGAAAAGAAAGCGAAAGAGAGAGAGAGAGAGAGATAGACAGAGACTCAAAGTTAATCAGGAACAGCCCCACACGCAATAAAGTTTATCAAACGGACGTTAAGGACCATAAACCTATCTATATTACGAGTCCCACGACCAAAAAAACAACAAAATAACAAAAACAAAACAAGAAGCTTACCTGGGACGGCGATTCGGCACTTAATTACATGTTTAACTTTATTATCATGTAGACAGCAGATACAAAAGACCATAAAATAATCTACAGCCAATTAACATACAGGTGAAGGGGGAGGGGGGGGAGTTAGGTGATTGGGTGTGAGAGGGGAGAGGGAGGGGGGGGGTAGGTGATTGGGTGAGGGGAGAGGGGAGGGGGAGGAGGTGATTGGGTGGGAGGGGAGAGGGGGAGGAGGTGATTGGTGGGGAGGGGGGGCAGGCGAGAGGGGGGGGGGGCGGGCGCTAATCTCTTGATTAAGGATTTCGGAGAGAAAATGCAATCGCCAGGGATAGAGAAATCAAGGAGGTCTTCCTGCCGGGGCGATTATCGGGTCGTAAGTCATGGGCGGCGACGGAGGGAGGAGGAGGAGGAGGAGGGAGGAGGAAGAGAGGAAGAGGAACAGGAAACAGGAAGGAGGAAGGAGGAGGAGGAGGAGAAGAGGTGGAGAGAGGAGGAGGAGGAAGAAGAGGTAGAAGAGAGGGGAGGGAGGAGGAGAGGAGTAGAAGAGGAGGAAGGAGGTAGAAGAGGAGAGGAAGAGGAACAGGAGGAAGAGGAGGGAAAGAGGAAGAAGGAGGAGGAGGAGGAGGAGGAAAGGAGGGAGAGAGGAGGAGGAGGGGAGGAGAGGAGGAGGAGGGAGGAAAAGGAGGAGGAGGGAGAAAGGAGGGGGGGAGGAGGAGGGAAAGGAGGGAGAGAGGAGGAGGAGGAGGAGGAGGAGGAGGAGGAAGAGGAGGGGAAGGAGAAGAAGAAGAAGAAGAAGAAGAAAGAAGGCAGACAACATTTTTTCTGTCTTTGCTTTCTTACTATTTCTCTTCTTCAGACACGAACGCACACACGCATGCACGCACAAACACACATACTGAATATACATATATACTTTTTGTTTCTCTTGTCTCTTTTACTAAGATGGAAGATAAACATAACGAAGAACATGATAATGAACAAACGAAGACAATCAAAAAGAAAATTAAGAAAGAGAGAGAGAGAGACAAAAAAAGAAAATTGAGAAAGAGTAAAGATTTAAGAAATTTAAGAAAGACAGAGAGAGAAAAAAAGAAAATTAAGAACGAAAGTGAGAGAAAAGAAAACAAAGAAAGAGAGAGAGAGAGAGAGAGAGAGAGAGAGAGAGAGAGAGAGAGAGAAGAGAGAGAGAGAGAGAGAGAGAGAGAGAGAGAGAGAGAGAGAGAGAGAGAGAGAGAGAGAGAGAGAGAGAGCGAGAGAGAGAGAGAGAGGAAGAGAGAGAGAGAGAGAGAGAGAGAGAGAGCAGAGCAGAGAAAGAGAGAGAGAGAGAGAGAGAGAGGAAGAGAGAGGACGGGGGGGGGGGGAGGCACAGCGCCTCGGGAGCAACTAGAGAGATGTTATTAACCTTCACATAATGAACTTGGGCATCTTGACGCTCCTAAGACGCCTGCCCTGGTGCCTTCTCCCTCTCCCACCCTGGCTCTCTCCTCTCCCTGGTCAATCTCTCCTCCTCCCCTCTCCCTCTCCCTGGCTCCTCTCATCCCTCATCCCTCTCTCCCTCCTCTCCTCTCTCTCCCTGGTCACTCTCTTCCCTCTCTCTCCCTCTTCTCCCTCCTCTCCTGGCTCTCTCTCTCTTCTTCTTTATCTTCCTCCTTCCTCTCCCTGGCTTCTTTCTCTCTCCCACTTATATCTTTCTCCTTCTCACCCTCGCCCCTCTCCCTCTCCGGTTCTCTCTCTCTCTTTAAATCTTATTGACTTCTCCATCTCTGGCCTTCACTCTCTCCCTCTCCTTATTTATTTTCCCTTTTCTCTCCCTGGCCCTCCTCCTTTTCCGTTTCGATCTTCTTCAACCATTCTTCTTCTCCTCCATTCCCGTTTCTCCTTCATCTCTCTTCCTCTCTCTCTCTCTCTCTAGAGACACAGAAACATAGACAGAGCACAAAGACGCATCCAGACAGAGAAAAAAAAGAAAAGAAAAACAGAAAGAAGAACAAAATACAAATTCAAACCCAAAAAACAAACGCAAACAAAAAGACATTAAAACAAAACCCCCCCCTCCCCCCCCCCCCCCCCCCAAAAAAAAAAAAGTTTCACCAGCTTGGACGCGCGATAAATCCCCGGCGAGGTGCTGGCAGACGCCGCTTTAAAACACTCTGATTCTCCATCCAGCGGCACAATAAATAATATCATCAGCTGTTCGCACACAACAAGATTTAAGCTTAACAGGAATTTGATAAAAGCAGATTAAACCGGGGCCGGCTAAGGGAACAGGTCGTTAGTCATTGTAGCCGGACTGGAGCGGCGCGGCGGCGCGTCTCATTATATGGAAGTCCGCGGTAAAAAATGGACACATCAACAAATTAATGAGACATGGAGACACAGGTAATCTTGGTCGTGTTACAGGACTCTACTACCTCTTCCTTCCTCCTCCCCCCCACCCTCCCCATCTCCCATTTTTTTTTCATTTGGTTGTTACGGGATGTCGCCTTTTTGGTCGGATTGAGAGGGAAGCCTTGTTTGGTTTTACGTTTGCTCTAGGTTGGTCGCTCTAGAGAAGTGGTCGCCTTTTTGGTCGCTTAGAGAGGTGGTCGCTTTTGGAGGAGGTAATCGCTCTAAAGAGGTGGTCGCTTTAGAGAGGTAATCGCTCTAGAAGAGGTAGCCGCTCTAGAGAGGTAGCGCTCTAGAAAGAGTGGTCGCTTTTAAAGAGGTGGTCGCTTTTAAAGAGGCGGTCGCTTATAGGGAGGATAGAGAGGACATCGATTACCTGCTGTCCTTGCTAAACCGAACACGAGCATTTAGACGTAAAGGACGGTGGAACATTATTGAAAGGTCAGAGCCGAGGGTATGCAAAAAAAAAAAAAAAAAAAAAAGAAAAAGTATATATATATATACGAGAAAAGAAAGAGAATCGGTTGGAATATTGAGAGAGAGAGAGAGAGAGAGAGAGAGAGAGAGAGAGAGAGAGAGAGAGAGAGGAAGAGAGAGAGAGAGAGAGAGAGAGAGAGAGAGAGAGAGAGAGAGAGAGAGAGAGAGAAGAGAGAGAGAGAGGAGAGAGAGAGAGAGAGAGAGAGAGAGAGAGAGAGAAAGAGAGAGAGAGAGAGAGAGAGAGAGAGAGAGAGAGAGAGAGAGAGAGAGAGAGAGAGAGAGAGAGAGAGAGAGACAGAGAGAGAGACAGAGACAGAGAGAAAGAGGAAGGGAGAGAGAAAGAAAGAAAGACCGAAAAAGAAAAAAAAGAAAGAAGAGAAAAGAGACAAAGAGCAACCCAGAAGAAAGAAACAAAAAGAACAAAAAAAAGAGATAAACCGCCATAATTAAGGCGGGTGAATATGAGTCTTTATGAACCACGAGCATAAAAGGGATGAAAAAAAAAGAAAAAAAAGGAAAAAAAAATTCTCGTGGTGAAATATTTAACATTATTGACTCTTCCATTAATTCGTGGCTCTTGGGCGGGGCGGGGGGGGGGGGGGGGGGTGGGGGTGGGGGGAGGGGAAGGGGGGGTATACGTTCCGCTAAATTGATGGTATTTAGAAACGCAATCGATTAATAAAAAGGGAAAGGGTGAAAGAGAGAGAGAGGAGGAGAGAGTGAAAAAAAGAGGAAGGAAACGAGAGGAAGGGAGAGAGAAAGAAAGAGAAGGGAGAGAGGGAGAGAGAGAAAGAAAGAAAGGGGGAAAGAGGGAGAGAGAAAGAGGAGAAAAAGAGAAAATAAAGAAGGAAGGAAACACAAATAGAAACAAAAAAAAAGAAAGCAGACAAGAAACAAAACGACCCCCCCCCAAAAAAAAAAAAAACAGACACACAACAAAATAAGAAACAAGAAACAAAACAAAAAAAAAACACAAAAAAACAAACAAACAACGAAGGCAGAGGCTCCCACCAACCCACAAGACTCACGGTGCACTTACGGAACAATCTCCCTCACACACGGACCTTTATCTTTATCGGACCTTTATTTATCGGACCTTATTTTA